GATTACATTTGGGAGTGGCACCTTCAGCAGCTCTTCTTTGCAAACTGAAGAACCACACTTTCATGTTTAATTCTGCAACAAAATAATCATAGATTCTGCTGTGAAACATATAACCTACTTCAGAGTTAGGGTGGTTTTTTTCTCCATGTGTGTTTTCCTCAAAATGGAAAGGATTACATCTTCAGCTTGTCTGTAGCTTCTGCTTTATTGTAATAGCATTTTCACATAGTGGACTAGAAACATTTTTAATCAATTTAAAAATATTTATTCAAGCAGACCCTCTCATGATGTATTCAAAAAAGTACTCTTTCACAAGAGTGTCTAGTGCTTGTATGTTAAAAATCACACTGTTTTGATAAATTTGTTGATTAGTTTTTTAAGCATGATAAATTTTTTTTGATTTTTCAAACCTTTTTTCTTCCCACAGTTTATTACACTGGGGGAGGTCTTACTGCAGCATACTTAGATGGGGCTCTGTTCCCAAGAATTCTGTTGAATCAGTGACAGTGAAAATGGTAGAAAGTAGTTTTGTTTCATGCAGTGATAACATTTCATTATAATTTTTAGCACTTGAAGAGAATAAGAGGATGGTATGCTTGAATTAGCTCAAAGCCACTTTTATGCCATAGCTCTGTTCCGTGCAGCTCTGTGAAGAAGAGCTGCGTCATGTACAGAACAACCCTCTGAGTGCTGAGGTGAGGAGACTGGAAATGGTGGTTTTTTTAAAGTAGTTTGGTCTCCAATCTGGCTTGGCTTTGATTTCTAGACATTCAGGAAATGGAACTTTCAAAGATGAAGTCAATGGGAAAATGTGCACTGTTCCTGCTCAGCAAGTGTGACTTTATGGAAATGTTAAAATGCACCTCATTGTTTGCATAGAGTCTCCTTTTGGCAAGAAATGGGAATCTGTGTAATCAATTACTCCAGAGATTTTCCTTCAAGGCCTTTGGGTTAGAAAGTGTGGACACTTTTTAAAAGAAAACATTTTTATACAAATGAGCTATTCTCATACAGAATCAAACAAATCCAAGATACACCATGCATTTCACAGTGATATGTGGATTAATACCCATAAAATACTCAAAGGAAATATATGTCAGAATACTACAATAACTGCGGAGTCTTGACCTTGTGTTAATTAATATAACCCAGTGACTGTACAATTTAACAGGTTTTTCTGTCACTTTTTAAAGAAAACCCCCA